CTTTAGCCATGCTTCTAAAACTTATCAATAAGACTCCCGAGGATGATGTTGGTACCTCGAAGGGGGTAGAGGTACATTGTTAATTACTTCACTCCCATACAATTTTTATTTAACTATGTCGAAGGGAGAAGCAAGGAATGTGGCATGGGAGGACTTCCTTATGTAGTTAAAAAGGGAAAACTGTTCTGAAAGAGACCTTTTGGAAATAAGCAAGGAATTCCATAATCTGAATAAAGGAAATATGAGTGCCAGCAAGTAAGCTGGAGCCTTTACTGAGAAAATGATGTTAGTTCCTTACCTGGTTCCTATGCTGATGAACGCATATATATTAAGAGAGTGCATGTACGGTTCAATAGTGTTTAATTATAAACGATGAAAAAACATAAGGACCATAAAGTTAAATAAAAATTGTATGAGAGTGAAATAATTAATAACGTACCTCCACCCCCTTAGAAGTACCAACAACATCTTCGAGAGTCTTATTGGTAACTTTTAGAAGCATGGCTAAAGTAGTGTCATGCTCTGATAAACGCTTATCATGTGACCTTATATGCTCGCGACATTCAATGAGCTTGTTTTGCAATTGACGAACCTCGTTTTGCAATTGACGAACCTCGTTTTGCAAGCCAATAATAATTTGGTCCTTATCAGTTGATGGTTCAGCAACCGGCGACTGTGGTGTTGGCAGGTGAGATGGAACATCAATTTGTGTCTTCTTTTGTCGAGGCTCATGGGTAGGGGAGTGTTTGGGTGATGGTGCTACGAAATGTGCCATGTGAACTTCTATATATAAGCTTCTTTGAAGGGGCCCATGAGAAGTCGCATTCTACATTAAATTTTAAGAATTTAGAAAATTAAGAAGGCGGTTGATGAAGAAAATCTATATATGAATTAGCTATATAGAGCACATGACAACAGAAGCAGGAGTTGGGGTATTAAAAACCAAAATCCAAACTCCACACATGATGTAAAGAACCAAAACGCATAAAGGAAGGTCAATAACTCTTGAAAAAAAAATGCGCATTTCATAGTAATTTCATCTAGCTTCCCCTAGACACTTGTAATCTACCCAAAGATTATGTAAAGAAACAAAACCCACAACCTAAAATCAATAATTCTTAACAAAAAAAATCTCATTTCATCATAATTCCACCTAGGCATCTCTATATATCTGTAAACTAGTCGAAGATGATGTAAAGAATCAAAAGCCAAGAAATTCAATTCATACAATGTCAATAATTGTTAAAAACATATGTTAATTTCAACATAATGTCATGTGGGTACCAGCAAAAAGTAAAAAAAATATCAAGGAATTGTGTTGTTTTTACCTTAGCTGCTTGTCAAATCTGTCGACGTTTTGCGTGTGCGTATGCGTGTGCTAGTTGTTGAGGACCGGTCCAGGCGACGGTGGATGGAGGTGTGTACGTGTTGATTAGCAATGGTGGAGATGGTAGTGACTAATGAATCTGATGGTGGTGGTGAAAATCGCTGATAACAGAAGAGAGAAGGTACCAGTGTGGTTCAGTGGACTATCGATGGTTCCATGTTGGCACTAGCCCAACCCATTTAAAATTAAACAAAAACAAAAAAAATCTTTGAAATATTGCCTAAGGGTTGATGATTTATCAACATCTCCTTACGCATCATAAATGTTTGTCGCCGAATCGATGATATTTCCACCACTTCAGCCGTCCACCGTTCAACCACGGCTACCGGCCCATCGCTGCCCCTCCGCAAGGTGCCACCGTAACAAAATGAGTGGTCAATTTTTGCTTGATGGTTTTATGTCGTATATTTATAAACGTGTTTTAAAAATTATTGATAACAATATAATTATGAATACATTTCAACATATAAGAACTTTATTATAACTATTGAAGTTATGTTTGAATATTGACAAAATTTCATAAATTGTCGTAATTTTTTTGGTTTTTCTCTAATATAGTTCTTATGAAACTTTTTTTTTGCATGGACATCTTTGAAGTAAACCTTGCATGTAAAAAGTCTTTATTGTGGATGCCCGTTAGATGGATTCGTTAAGTTGAATTTTTTTTGGGTAAGGGTCATTTCTGCTATTTTGTGAAACTTGCATAATGATCATTTGTGAAATTTTACATAGGGACCATTCGTGAAATGATCCGAAAATGTAAAATGAAATTTGAATTAAAAAATAAAAGTAAAAAAGATGACCAAAAATGTAAAAAGAACAAAAAAAAAATAAGAGATTAACATTGTAATATTTCATAAATGGTCCCATTGTAAAATTTTACAAATAGTCCTTAAGCAAGTTTTACAAAATAACAAAAATGACCCTTATCTAAAAAAAATTCAATTTAATGGATTTATCTAAGGGATATCCACAATAAAAAGTATCTACGTGCAATGTTTTCTCCAAATTGACTCCCCATGCAAAAAAGTTTCATAAGAACTATATTAGGGAAAAAGCGAAAAGAATTAAGACCATTTGCAAAATTTTGTCTTGAGTATTTTAAGGCATAAAACCGGACACACCACTAGTATCAGGGCCGGTCCAAACGTATATGGGCCCGGGACGAAAAGAAAAAAAAGGGTCTTTTAAAGACAAATATAATAAAGATTCAAAAAAATATCATTTATTATTCACTATAAACGCATTCAATTAGCAGTAACAACCAAGTCAAATTGTTTATCTTTTGAGCTAGTTTGAGTTTGAACCAACTTTAGGCCCAAAAAATTATTTAAGTAATAATTATATATATATATATATATATATATATATATATATGTTCAATTGAGAAAAAAAAGGTTGAGAATGGGGGAATCATTCTCAGCCACTCATTTATTTTTCCCGCAAAAGCCTCTGTCGTACCAGCAGAAATGGGAAATGAATAGACATGTGTTTTCCAACAAAACATGTTTCCTTAAACTATGCTAATCATTACCTTAATATATACAAAACATAGTTTTTCGTTTTTTTTTTAATTTTTAAGAAGCTATTTTTATCGAAAAATGATCTTAATATACCAAAATTCATGATTTTTTATTCTCTACAAATAGACATCCATATTGATATAGTTTTAAGATAAAATAATTTTTTTTTTTATATTTTCAACTATCGTTATTCATAAGTGAATAAAAATGAATCAGGTTTTTACTACAGTACATTCGTTTTCACTTATGAATAAAAACTATGATTAATTTTTTTTACAATTTAAGTATCATTCATATATGAATATAGCATATAATAAACGTAGTATATTCATATTTAAATATTAGACGATGCATTCACTTGTGAATATTACATAATATATTCACTTGTGAATATTAGATTGTATATTCATTTATGAATATTAGATAATATTTTCATATCTGAATATTACATAGTATTACATGGTATAGCACATGTGAATATTACATAGTATATTCACTTGTGAATATTAGATGATATATTCACTTATGAATATTACACAGTATATTCACATATGAATATTACAAGGTATTTTCACAAATATATATAATTTTTATATGTTATTCATATATGAATAACATACAGACTTGCATATTTGTTTTTTTGTTTTAATAATCATATACTGATTCAGGTGAGAAAACATATTCATATATGAATATAACGTGGTAATTTAGTTTATGCATTTCATCAAACAGTTGGAGTGAATACAATTTAACTTTTTTAAAAATGTTAAAAACATGATACTTTGACTATTTAAATCTTACAAAATAGTAGATTGATAGAGAATTATATGAAATTTAAAAAAAAACGATTTGATCTTTTTCTAACCTCAATTTTGAAGTTTTATTTGATAATCGATGTTGAATGAATGATATGAAGTGGATTTTTTGTTGATTATCGATGATGTTGATCTAATGACGCTGGGAGTATAATTAATCGTAGATGTTGAAGATCTGATCGTATTCAAGCACAATTGAAGGTTGGGTTAAAAGAACCAAAAAACGAATTTTTGTTGTTAACTGTTGAATCGTGTTGATAAACATGTTATTGACGAAGATCGATGATTGATTAACACTGGATGATGGTTTAATTGAAGAAATTTGGATGATTGTTGAAGGTTGGAGGAGAAATTTGGATGATGAACGATCGATTAGAAATGGGTTTGAACTGTTATCTATTTCTATACAGTACGTATTTGAGATTGAAGGTTATTATCATATTTACAAGTTTGTCACCGTGTCTTTTTATGCTTAAATTAAATGTATGGCTGAGAATGATTCCTCATTCTCAATCTTTTTTATTTTCTCAATTGAACCCACCTCTCTCTCTCTCTCTCTCTCTATATATATATATATATATATATATATATATATATATATATATATATAATATATAGCCCATAAATTTGCCCCCTGGAGACGTGGGTCCTGGGCGGTCGCCCGGGTTGCCCATCGTCTGGACCGGCCCTGACTAGTATTTTTACTTTTTTTTTTTTTTTTTCGGTTTTACTTGTATAAGGAACCATCTATTTTTCGGTTCTAGATTTGTCCCTGAGTCCACATGCCCTTATCTTTTTCCTATTCTCATTTTAAATCAACTATTTATGTCGGTTCGATCAAAATTAAATGATAAATACACTCTAGAAAAATACACAACTAATTTCAAAGTATAAAAATTACAAACACAAGATTATTTTATTTTGCTAACAGAAGAATATGGCATTTATGGTTTGACAAAGAAACACCGATCAACTCAGTCAAACTATAGTAATATAGCTAATTTGGACCTTCTATTAGGTCACGTAGTTAACTGGTGTGGAAAATTAGCGATCAATGTAAGCACTATGCAGTTTAGCTTGTTGTTTGGAACGTTAATTTGGTTGTATTGGTTCAATCAAAGCGTTTATATTTTAAAAATAAAATAAAATTGTATGAGTTAAAAGAAGTTACTGTCAAATATGGGGGGTTAAAAGTTAACAGTTAAAAGTTAGAGAGTTAAAAAAAATAAAAAATAAAAACAAAGAAGAGATCCCAAAAGTTTATTTTTTAGATCTGAAGATACTACTCGAAACTCGAGTTGCGTGTGAAGGAATGAGCACATGTATTGTATAGACCCCCATATACAAATTATACACAGCGAGTCCATAACGTGATACGCTGATTTCGGCTTTTCCACGTGATCTCCTCCATGCCTCCGCCCCTTTCCGTTCATCCAACTAGCAACTACAGTAGACTGGCTCACTCGCAATAGAAGCAGTAGTCATACTCTCTCTCTCTCTCTCTCTCTCTCTCTCTCTCTCTCTCTCTCTCTCTAGACTCGTCGGTTCAATTGTCAACAGTCATTCAAGGGGTTCAGTTCGGAAGTAGATCGATTTTATCCGGTTACACCTCCGATAATGAAGACAACCAAAGTACCAATCTTGAATCCTCCTCTTGTCACGTTTGAACATAAGAGGTATCAGTTGTTTCGACTATATTTACGGTTATTATGCCATAATTACCCCCTTTTTCTTAGGGTGCTCGATTTTTCTCACATTCACCCCATTTTCTCACAGTCACATTACACGATCACAGCAGTATACAGTATAAGTTTAAGTAATCATCCAATATGAGATATAGATCGAACAAGTTACGAAAATTATCGAAACGGTTTTTGATCTTGGTGAGGGATTTGATTTTGATCTTCTTTAATTGGACGCCTAAATGATTAACTTTGTGATGAATAGTGGTTTCGCACTTTTTAGGATCAATTATTTTGGACATGATCTTGTTTGGTGTTATTGAAATTTGATTTGGAATCCCTCTTTTTTAATAAAAGAGCCACATTATGCCTTTTTGCTATTTTTTTAACTTTAGAGCAGTTAAAATACTTTTCAACAGTTGAATTACAAACTTCTCAAGAGAAAAAAATCATAGCACATGAAAGTGAAACTGAAAATCATCTACAAGGTTCCATTCTCCCCATCTTATTACTTACTTACTTTTTATTGGACAGAGATGCCTATGGTTTTGCAGTGAGACCTCAGCATGTACAGAGATACCGGGAATATGCAAATATCTACAAGGTTTTACTCTTTTTAGTCTCGATCTTCTTACTTATTTACATATCATTCAATTACATTCATAATGTAAAACCTGCAACCCTACATGGTTTTAGGAGGAAGAGGAAGAACGGTCAGATAGGTGGAAAGACTTTCTGGAAAGGCAATCAGAGGGTGCTCAATTGCCTGTAAATGGTGGTTCTGATAAAGCCCCAGAAGGAGATGATTTGAGCAGTGAGAAGCCTGGCCATGATGATTTAAAACCTCAAGAAGATGAAGTTTCTGAGACTAAGTCTCATGGGGTCCAAATATGGGCTCATATTAGGCCATCACTTAGAGCCATTGAGGATATGATGAATGCTCGTGTTAAGAGAAAGATTAGTGGGACAAAAACAGATGAAGATCCTGAAACTGAAAATGTTGCTTCTGTTGAGGACTCTGAGGATGAGTTTTATGATTTGGACAAGCCAGAGTCAGACACAACTCCAGATATCCCTGCAAGTGATGGTGTCACTCCCTCAATTCCAGCTGCTGATGGCACTGCTGCCCCACAGGAATCTTCAATTCCATGGAAACAGGAATTGGAGTTTCTTGTCCAAGGTGGAGTGCCAATGGCTCTTAGGGGAGAGGTAGGCTGTGTACTCTTCCAATTCCTTTTATTTATGTAATGTTTCAAAGTATTATATTACTATAATCAACCACTTGTAATTGCAGCTATGGCAAGCTTTTGTGGGTGTCAAGGCTCGTCACATTAAGAATTACTATCAGAATCTTCTACTTTCTGATAGTAAGACTGATAACAATGTGGATCAGCAAATTCAAGAAGTAGATGAAGCAAGTAAGGACTCAAAGAATGACTCCATGAACGCACCTGAGAAATGGAAACTTCAGATTGAAAAGGTCATCACCTAATTTAATTCACTTCAGTAGTAAATTACTATTCCTGGTTTTTTTTTTTGTACAATTCCTAATCAGATATACTGTTTTGTTTCACAGGACTTGCCTCGGACTTTTCCAGGTCACCCTGCTCTAGATGAAGGTGGTAGAAATGCTTTGAGACGTTTACTCACAGCATATGCTCGCCATAACCCCTCTGTTGGCTACTGCCAGGTCAGCATCCAACTCATTTGACAACTAATTTTTTAAAAATTTTCTTATAGATTATGTGAAATGTGATGCTAATCTATTGTATTAAATTTAGGCCATGAATTTTTTTGCTGGCTTATTACTTCTTCTGATGCCTGAAGAAAATGCCTTTTGGTAGGTTTTGAGCCTTAATAAATCTTACCCTTCCCAGCTGCCTGAACAATATATTTACATTGCTTTTTCAATTTAATCTCAGGGCTTTAATGGGTATTCTTGATGATTATTTCGAAGGCTATTATTCAGAGGAAATGATTGAGTCTCAGGTACTTACTTTATAATCTCTTGATCACAAAGATTATTAAAATGTGGACCATTTTATATATTTACACTCTAATTTCTCTCAGGTTGACCAGCTTGTTTTTGAGGAGTTGGTGCGTGAGAGGTTTCCTAAATTAGGTTTGTTTTTCATATATCATCTATTTTCTATACTATATGATAACGATATTTATTTATTTTACTCCATTATTTGTTTGATGCAGTTAACCACCTAGATTACCTAGGAGTCCAAATCGCATGGGTCTCTGGACCATGGTTCCTTTCACTGTTTATGAATATGCTTCCCTGGGAAAGTGGTAAGTTTCTCTTTGTTTTTATATTTATTAATCAACAACAAAACCAAAATATAAAAACTTATAAAATTCTCCTTCCAGTTCTTCGAGTCTGGGATGTACTTCTATTTCAAGGGAATCGAGTCATGCTCTTTCGAACAGCTCTATCATTAATGGAGTTATATGGTACTGTGTTTCCTTTCTTTGATCTATGTTTATGATGATATGTATATTTTTTTATAAATTGGAATTTAGTTTTATTCAGTTTTGTGCAGGACCTGCATTAGTGACAACAAAGGATGCTGGGGATGCAGTGACACTGCTGCAGTCACTAGCAGGGTCAACATTTGACAGCAGTCAACTTGTTTTGACAGCTTGCATGGGTTATCAAAATGTGAATGAAGAGAGACTTGAAGACTTAAGGAACAAACATCGGCCAGCTGTTGAAGCTGCTCAAATAGAAAGAACAAAAGGACTTCATATGTGGAGGAATTCCCAGGGTAAAATGGTAAATGGTGCATTGTCACGGATGAATTCTGAATCTTCTAATGCAGATGAGTTGTATGTGGGTGTGTCAGGAGATGTGGAGATTGATTCCCTTCCAGATCTTCAAGAACAGGTTAGGTTACACATTGTATATATCTACTATTCCTTCATCATATCATATATACTATACTAAAATTACAAAATTGTCCTTTGTAGGTTGTGTGGCTAAAGAATGAGCTGTGCAAAGTACTAGAGGAAAAAAGATCTGCAATAATCAGGTTTTGTTTATATTTAGTTGCAATTTTTGTTTGAATTATTTTGGCCTACACATTAAATTAAATTTTGGTAATCATCTTTCTTAAAAATTGGTTTAATGTTTACAGAGCTGAAGAGTTGGAAACTGCTTTAATGGAGATGGTCAAACAGGATAATCGTCGAGAATTAAGTGCAAAGGTATGCTAGAAGAAGTTGTATGTTGCAAAAATGGGCAATTTTGAACAAAAGTATTATGTTTTTTTTTTTTTTGGGCAATTACATTTAATTAATAATTGTTTTTTTTAGGTTGAGCAATTAGAGCGGGATGTTGCTGAGCTACAACAGGCTCTTGCTGACAAACAAGAACAAGAGAACGCCATGATTCAGGTTTTAATTTAATGACATCAATCAATTCACATTTGATTACATAAAAAAATATTTTTCATTTTATGTTTTGTATTTTATATTTTTTATTTAAAGGTTTTGATGCGGGTAGAGCAAGAGCAAAAGGTAACAGAAGATGCTCGCAGATATGCTGAGCAAGATGCTGCAGCCCAGAGATATGCCACTGAAGTGCTTCAGGTTAAAAAGGAAATTATTATAATGTTACAAAACTATAATGCAAATACTTTCGGTAATCAATCGGTAGAAAACAAATATATATATATATATATTTTTTTAATATATTGGATGATTATTATTCAGGAAAAATATGAAACAGCGACTGCTTCCCTTGCTGAAATGGAGAAGAGAGTGGTTATGGCAGAATCAATGTTGGAGGCAACCTTGCAATACCAGTCTGGCCAAACAAAAGCACAGCCTTCTCCAAGGTAACCACCATTACCAATATCAATATCAGTACACTAGTAACAGTAATAATCATTTTTTTTTTTACTTAGATCTGCAAATCAAGATTCATCAACAATAAGAACAAGTCAAGAACTGACACAAGAGATACCTGCAAGAAAGATTAGTCTGTTATCAAGACCATTTGTGCTGGGGTGGCGTGACAAGAACAAGGTCAATTCTAAACCTCATTTGCCATGTCATCTTTCTAAACCCTAAACCCATTAACGAATTTAGTGACTTCCCACAGGCAAAGCCAGCAGAAGAGCATGTGGTGGGTGTAAAGGCTACCACTGCCACTACTACTACTACTGTTGATGAACCAAGTCCAAAACATGTGGAAAATCTACAGCTCGATGTTAAGGCTGCTATTGGTGGTGAAGAAGAAAACCTTAAACTTGTGCAGGAAGAACACCATGATCATAATGGTCATGAAATGGAGCAGGTATCGTTGACCACCCTTGACTCATGATGGATCATACACTCAAGGAAAACATCATTATCTTGTGTTTATGTTGGTTTTGACTTTTGAGGGAGAAGCGTACATTACTAGTTTTTTTTTTTTTTTTTCTTCTTTTAAAATAATTTCTTATATAACTTATATATATAGCTCATTAGCCATTTGTTTGTTTAGTAATTAATAAAACCCTAGTTGGTGGTTTTAAGAGAAAATGTAAAAAGAAAATTGGGAATTATGTATGGTATTGTATCTTTTATCATTTTTGTCGTGTTCTAGACCAAGTACAAAGTGATATTGCTCACAAGCTTTCTATAGGGCTACTTGACATTCATGTCTTTTGCTAAGGTAGACAGGATACCGAGGTCAAACAACCTTATTCCACCTTTTCTATGAGACAAATTGTAATATTTGTCATATCGATATCATTTCAAGTCCAATGCATAACAAATGTAATACAAGCCCATCATTTGCAAGACTCAAAAAACCAGATTGACCGCTAATCTTTTATATAGAGCTAACTAATTACAAGAATCTCCAATCCTTTAATAATAAATAAAACACGAAAAGTCAAGTAAAAAAAAAAAGAATATAGTGGGACAGAAATAAACAAAGTTGAAAAGAATAAACACAAAAGACTCATATTTTCCCGTTAGCAAAAAGCATGAATCAATCTTTCATCACCTCAAGGCATTGGCAGCATCACTGTTTCGTTGTGTTCTTGGGGTGGAAGAGCCTGATTGAGACTGGGACTGGGACTGGGACCGGGACCGGGAGCGGGCCCGCGGGTCATATCTTTGTGAAGCAAGATAAGTCAAAGCGGTCACCACGTCAGCAATGACGGGCCTCATGGTAGGCTGTTCTTGTACACACATTGCAGCCACAGCAAGTGCCTGGTACAACCCTCTTACAGGGTACTGCCCTTCAAGCATCGGGTCAGCCATCTGCCCGAATTTCCTCCTGTCTTTAAATAAAGGCCGTGCCTGCCACCCATATTAATTAATTAATTCAGTAATTTTCAATAAATAAATAATTCAGCATTTTATTTTATTGTTTTTTTTGTTTCTTACCCAAGCAACGAGATTATGTTCACAACCGGTTTTGGCGTGATCGATTGCTTTTCTCCCTGTAATAATTTCAAGAAGAACGACTCCAAAACTGTAGACATCTGATTTGGGGGTGAGCTGACCTGTCATGGCGTATTCGGGAGCACAATACCCGTATGTTCCCATGACACGGGTGGACACGTGGGTCTTGTCACCCACGGGCCCCAATTTTGCTAACCCAAAATCAGACAATTTTGGGTTATAATCTTGATCAAGCAAAATGTTTGAGCATTTTAGGTCACGGTATATAACCGGAGGGCTAGCTTTATCATGTAGATATTCCAACCCTTTTGCGGCCCCCGCAGCTATTTTCATCCGTGTGTTCCAGTCAAGTTGTTGTTTATCAGGAGGTAGATCTGAATCAATGTAAACAACAAAACAAATATTATATATATATATATATATATATATATATATATATATATATATATATATATATATATATATATATATATATATATATATATATAACTAATCATTTTAATATATATATTTTTTAAAAAAAGTACCATGAAGATGGTCTTCTAATGATCCAAGTGGCATGTATTCGTATACCAAAAGTCTTTGATCGCCATCAGCACAATATCCAATTAAGTTGACTAAATTAGGGTGGTGAAGGAGGCTTAACATCAACACTTCAACAAGAAACTCTCTGTTTCCTTGTAACCCATTACGATCAAGTTGCTTGATCGCCACAACCTGCACAATATATGGAAAGGGTAAAATAGTCATTCTAGTTAAACTTAACGGATGCAACAAAACTTAAAATTTGTTTTAGGGATCATTCCTTACAACAAATCAAACATCTGGATTAAATCCATAACTTTTTGGAATGGATATAATCTATGTTTCAATAATTGAAGTTTTTTAATTATTAAACACACTTATTGCCAACATGTTACCCACTCTCTCAATTGCAAATAGAGAAAAAAGACAAAGAAGAGGTCAAGTCAACTTATATCCACATAAAACTTCACAAATTTACACCAAAATTTTTACATCTGTAACATCCCTTATGTGCTCAGAAAATTATAGGGGTGTAAGTGAGCCGAGCTACTCGTGAACTACTCGGGATCGACTCGTTAAAAGCTCGACTCGAGATCGAATTAAACGAGCCTGAGCCTCGAGCCTAAATACGAGGATCGTTTATTAAACGAGCTCGAGCCGAGCTTCAATTCATGGGCTCGCGAGCCTTAACGAGCCTATATATATATATATATATATATACACACACACACACACACACATATATATATATATATATATATATATATATATATATATATATATATATATATACATAGAGGCTCGTTTAGGCTCGATTAGGCTCGCGAGCCCACTAAATTGTTCACGAGCCAAGCTCGAGATTCATTTTAAGGCTCGAATCAAGCTCGAGCTTCCTCAAAATTAAACGAGCCGAGCTCGAGCTTGGTCAGGCTCGGGCTCGGCTCGACTCATTTACACCCCTAGAAAATTACAATAAATTACGCTCATCATTACAAATAAGATTATGCTTTTGCAATTCAGTCCAAAAGGGTCTTTTTTTATTTTGCCATTCTTGAAGTACAATGAAAGTAAGATGCTATTTCTTGCATTTAACCCTTAAAGAAACTTGATAAATTGAACAAACCTGGTTGGTGCTCTCTAATCGGCCTCTATATACTCTACCAAACCCACCTTCACCCAAAAGACAATCTGCTCTAAAGTTCTTGGCTGCAGCTGCTAATTCACGAAATGTAAATGTGTGTGCTGCAATGTGTGTAGATCCTCCATCTTTCAAAGCTTCTTTATTTAACCCCACACCAGAATTAACCTTGGATTTATCTGAAAACACGCAATTCTTAAAAGTTTAAGTATAGAATTGGAATAAGAAGAAGGATATAAGATATGAATATGATTTAAGAAAAAACACATCATCATAGAGTTCAAAACAGACTACAAATCCCTTAAAGTTTCCACCTTTAATACATTCCGTTTTGTGATTTCTAATTTGGGGAAAAATCTAAACCCTAAATCTATGCTTACTACCAACGATACATAGGATTCATATAATTGGAAATTATGAGAAATGATTCACAATGAAAAATTGAAGATAATAATTGGAAACCCTACTATATTATTAACACCAGGGACAATAAAGAAAATTGATAATGATTTCAACAAATACTGACCATGAATTCTCTCGTTTTCCACTTTTGCAACACTAGCGATTGCAATTATAGCAAGTGAGCCGAACGCAATGATAATCAAGAATGAATGGGACAAAGAGAGATTCAAATGCTAAACGACAATTTGCCTAAAAATCAATTTGACTGGGTCAAATCAGATCAGCCTCCAGAAATTGTTTATACAACTTTAAAGCATACCCTATTTGAACATGAAAATACAAACAGCAGAAACTACAATTCTTTTAAAAAAAAAAAATCTTGGGAATTGAGAAGCAAAGAAGATATAGAGAACTGGGGCAATTGGATTGATCAAAGAAAACAATGTTGGTAACGGGTTTACCAGAATTTTGATTTATGTGTTGGAATATTTCAGTAATTTTGGTTACCTTGAGCTGATGAGATCTGATCTTCTGGCTTCTTGTTCTGCTGAAAGTTAGGTTTCTTCTTGGATTTATCAGAGCAGAATAAACAACCCATTTGTTTTCCCTCTCCACAACACACAGAGTTCACCCTCTAGAGAGAGAGAGAGAGAGAGTTGAAAATATTAAGACAACGAGAGAGAGAGAGAGAGAGAGAAGCTCTACATTACTCTTTCAATGGAGTGTCCCCTTGTGGTATTCTTAATCATTTTTGATTATTTGTCTTGTTGCGTCGCTGCTTTTTGTCTTGGTATTCATATATTATATTTAATTGATTGATATGTTTTATTTTACTTATTTCACTATTTTGGTAGTGAAAAATTGTAAACACATGTATGAATCGTGTCTAGCACTTTAGCCATTAGATAAATTTCGTATGATCTTAGTTAAATTAAAGTTACTGATGTTGTGATTGTAAGTTAAAACAATATTGTTTTGTTTTTTTTTATATCAATAATCCTAATCGGATATATACTAAAATAAAAAATCGACATGACATACAATGATAGCATCCAACAAAATCAAGTCCACTTGCTTCATATGATGGTAGGCAATTTGTATCACTGTTCAATTCTTAATTTTGTTTTGAATAAAATAAAGTAGAATATCTCATGAAACTTTAGGTTTTTGAGATATTAAACCGATTTACAAACATTATAAACTTGAATGCATGGTGTGCCCAACATCAATGTCAAATACCTTCAACACAACATAACCACCAACACTCCTTCCCTACAACGATAAAACTTGTTTAAGCCAATTTCTTCAGACGTCATCATCGCCACAGTGGTCTTATTGATGCCGTCAAACGATGTCTCAACATCTATCTCACCAGTCATGGTGTTGGAGTTACTCACAGTCAATCAAAACAACCATTGATTCAATTGCCGAACAATTGTGAAATTATGTTGGTATAACTATCGATCTGGAACCTGCTGAAACTGAGTATCCTGGTTAATTAAGTGCATGCTGTATCAAGTTTCAATATATGATCTTGATGGTGGCGGAGACCGATGGTTATGGTGAAATTTGTCTATAAATAATTAAACTTAATTTTATTATAACTTATATGTTGCCTATTATATAAACACAATCTTTCTATAAATTTCTATAGTATCGCACGTATTGCTACCACTAGTTGTATAGCCAAACATAAACATATTAATATACCTCATAAATAAGTGGTCCCATCTAAATGGATTAATTAATCAAATATTTAATGATAAATGGATTAATTAATCAAATATTTAATGATATGATACATTTTTATCCTTTAATAGGTACCTATTTTATTAATATTTGAGATTGAGAGACAATATCATGTCATCGCTTATTTGTATTATATAAGGTCAATAATAACGAATTATAATGCATACAAAGTAAAAGAATGATTGCTATATATATTCTTAACATGATATTATTTTGATTTAACTTTAGTTTAATTAACTAAAATAAATAATCGATTTAAAACAATGACATGAACGGAATAACAATTTGATGAAAAGCTGTATATGATCATAATTACTGTTATCATTGACTGAAAAAAACTTCAATTAGTATTATATATAAAGAATAAAACATTTTTTTTATAATTTTTTATTTAAATGATTAACAAAAATATAAAACTACATCACCATTTCTATATATCCAGTATCCTACCATGATTTACCTTTAACTATGAGACGACTTATCATAATCATTCAAAAAGTGTACTTTGTAATTCATTCATCCCAAAAAAATTGTAATTTTGACTTTAATACCCAACAATCATGATATTTTTGTGTGTGGGTGCAAATATAATTCATTTAATTTCAAATACCTGCATACACCTGGAAACGCTTGTCTTTTTATATTTTCATTAAATATTGTTTAGACAAATTCTATATAAAAACATGTCTAAAAAATGATGTCATGCTTGAAAAATTAAAATGAATAACATTGAATTTGAAGATCATGTGTATTAAGATAAGAGACACTAAAATTCAAAATCACATGAGGCAATTCAATCACGACAAATGCCCACACAAAATAGGAGTAACTGCAAAATGCACAAATTTAACGAGAAGAGACAAAAATGGTGGCCATACTACAATCTCTTTTGTCACGATTATTATCACGATCATCAAAATCGACAAAAAAATCACCGTCATCATAATTTGCCATTAAAAGTAAATATTTCTTTTTGGTGAAAGTGATTTGTATCTTAGCAATAAATGTAGATCTAAATGTTTGTCGATCTATATAATATTCTTAAAATAAGTTTGATTGACGTGTGAATGTAAATTTTGAGTGGTTAACACTAGGATTAAAATAGGATTAGAATGAGCATATGTTTCTACCGTAATTTCCATGGTAGATTGTAATATCACCATTTATTATAACATTAGGATTAAAATAGTGTTGTATATTATTTTTATGGAAATCGAGTAATCTAATCATTTTTTGGGTGTTTTTTAAAAATATAACCATTTTTTTTTAAAACTAACCACTTGGTTTGTAATGGGTCATTCTGGATCCGAAAACCAGTCCAACCCCAAATATTGTAGCCCAATTGTATATATATGGGTCCCACAAACAAAAAATCTAGAATACGCGTTTCGGAATTTGCACATCCGAAACACGATCTAGCCTCACTTCGGACCAAATTTTCAGCATTGATTCATCAAACCAAGTAAGTTCTACTCTTTAAGTTACTTTGCATTTAATTTTATAAAATGATTTACGTATTCCAGAATGGTCCGAGATACGAGGAACGACTCCGAAATACTATGATCGAATCTGAATTATCATTTTTTTAATGTTTTTCTCGTTGTATGTGTATGAATCTGATGTAAATACTTTGTAGTGTGTTTCAGATCGCTCGTTTTAATCCAAAATTATGGATTGTAGGGATTCTGGAATGATAATCTAAGTCCGGAACACGAAGAACGTGGTTCGGAACCCGATGAATTATTCTGGAACGATGTTACAGAATATCAATCCGGAATAACTATACTTATAAGTTTTTTCTAGATATTGTTTAATAACCCATGTTAGTCCAAAGACGAGTTTGTGTGGATGTTGTTAAAAAAAATGAGTTTTACAGACGATGAAGTTGTATTCCATATACAGGAGTTTTCAGAACTGCGCCCGATAAAGGTAAAATCGAAAAACAAAAAATTTGTAATTTTAATTTATTTTTACGGTAATGTATTAAAATGTTATTGGAATTTTGTTTTTGCAGATAAAAAACCAAGATGGCGAGTTTCAAAATAAAATAAAAAATAAACCAGCAAAAGCACCTATAAAATTAAGAAATAAATCAGAATGGGTGTTACAACTTAAATTGAAAGCAGATAGAACTCTGAAAGATGGCACACGAACAAGTGCAAACAAACATGTTATGATAGACTATTTGAAAAAATATATATTTTTTTGTTATTGATATGTTTCACCAAGTTGTTTTTATTATTATTAATATAACGTCTCATTTTCACAACAAATTTTTTTCATTTTTATTAAGGTGAAAACTTTCCAATTTATAAATCCATTATTAAGAAAAACCATTTATTCCAAATTACATTTGTTCAAAATCAGAGTTTTATAGAAAACGCAGAATCCTCAATGTTGTTGATGCGTGTGTACAGTCCTGCCTTCGCCTTCCCATAGACACCAATGATACCTGAAACAATAAACAACTGGATAAGCATAAAGCTTAGTGAGTTTCCCCCAAAATACCACCATATAAACAGATAACATATGTAATTAAACATGTCGGGTCCAGTCAACCATCGGGTTGGAATACCCTAGGCCCAGTCAACCTCCGGGTCCAGTCATCCTCAAGATGGAATATCCCAGGTTGGAATGCAAATATACAACATGGCTAATCAGCCATCAGGTTGGAATACCCATGGTTTGTTGGCCTACCTCCTCAACCCTACCGCTCTTCCCGAGCCTCCGTGCCTACGGCTTACAGCCGGCCCGCACCAGGTATCTTGACCTACCACACAAAGTAGGACCGCCTCAACTGTAACATCCATAAAAATCATGCCAAATTTAAACTTTTTAAAACCTTTCAAAACCAATGATTATTACAAAACTTGTTTTCAAAATAGTATAATGTCAGAGTATCCCAGAATCAAATCATTAAAACATAAGTAGGTGTACGGTCACGCCTTCGCCTTCCTGGGATCATCAGAAGTACCTGAAACAAAATCAACAACTGTAAGTCCGAAGCTTAATGAGTTCCCCCAAAATACCAACGTCATACATATATAACAATATCATATAAACAAACACAGCATGCATAATAAGCCATCAGTCTGACTGGACCGCCTCACAGGCCTTCAGTCTATCTGGACCACTCTCCGAGCCATCGACACGTCTGGACCGCCTCTCAGGGCCTTCAGCCTATCCGGACCACTCATCGGGCTTTCGACCTGACTAGTATGCCCTAACCGGGTCTACAGTCTATCCAGTCCGCCTTGGGTATCTTGGCCTACAACACAGAGCAGAACCTGCCTCAACCCAATCCCCCAAACCAACAAACATGTGCACATAAATATCATACGCTAGCTAGCAAGTACAGTGTAACAACCCAAAAATCAAAGGTAAAAATTTCATTTTAATATAACCCAAACATAGATACCATTTATTCCAAACATTCCAAAACATTGTTAATTAAAACATTTATCAGAGTTCATCCCAAAATCATTCGTTGCGGAAAATATGAGTGCGTGCAATGCGATCAAGCTGAGCCCTTCCTTTCCAAAACCATGATACCTGAAACCATAAACAAAACTGTAAGCACGAAGCTTAGTGAGTTCCCCAGAGCATACCCCACAAATAATCCACATAACACATATCATATTAGCTATAAAAGCTATCTCTACCACATAAGCCATACCAATTGCATAAGCATGCATATACACATATGAAGATGCCATGGAAACCCTCCAAGGTCTTATTCACATAATCACATAAATCATATCAACTACACAAGCCATACATATAAACATATAGGGAAGCCATGGAAACCCTCCAAGGTCTTACACCGGGTGCCACTGGAACCCCCATGTGGTCTTAACTAGGAAAGCCATGGGAACCCCCACATGGTCTTATATCCAACTGCCATGGGAACCCCCACATGGTCTTAGCCTGGAACGCCATGGGAACCCCCACATGGT